CCAGAGGTTAGAGGAAAAATCAAAATGTCAAGTTTTATAATTGTAGCAAAGAAGGTCACCTTAAAAGGGATTGTAAACAGGACATTCCTAGGAACAACGTTTTTATAAGTATAAGCCAAACAGAATGCCCCTTCCTTCTGGATTATGCAGAAGGTGTAGCAAAGGCCTAATGAATGTAGCAAAGGTCTAATGAATGTAGATCAACAAAAGATATTGAAGGTAACCTTTTGCCATCAAGAAACGCCTTGAGGGGTCCCTTGCAGACCCCTATGCCAAGTCCAGTTCAGTTATTTCCTGCCATCATAGAGGAAACTCACTCCCAGAGCAGTTAAAGAACTTCATAAGGAAGGAAGGAATTTTCAGAGAGAAAAATTAAAGCCATATGTTGTGAACATAACAATGAATTTGTAGGGACATGATTTGTTACAGCAATGGAATACTCAGATTAACATTCCCCCAGTATGAGAAACAAACCATAAATTAAGGTATGTTTCTGTGAAATATATTACAAGATATTTTGGAGAAGAGTCACCAACCATTCAGGTACAACAAGAACAGGGCACAACAGCTGCTGACTTTCTAAAGGCACCAACAGACCTACCTTTAAAATGGTTGACACACAAACCTGTATGAGTTGTACAATGGCCTTTAACAGCAGAGAAATTGCAGGCTTTAGAACAGCTGGTATAGAAGCAACTAAATAGTCAGTATATTGAAGAGTCAACCAGCCCTTGGAATTCTCCTGTATTTGTTATTAAAAAGATATCTGGAAAATGGAGAATAAAAACAGATTCAGCCAATAGGCTCTCTACACACTGGCAGTCCTTTGCTGTCTCTATTACCTAAAGGATGGCTTCTTATAGTTTTTTATTTAAAATATTGTTTCTTCACTATACCTTTACAAGAAAAAGAGAGAAAAAATTTTGCCTTCACGGTGCCTACTTATTATAATTCTCAGCCTGCTAAGAAGTATCAATGGAAGCTTCTCCCACAGGGAATATTAAATAGCCTCACCCTGTTGCAATATTTTTTAAGTCAGCCATTGGAAATGCTACATAAGCAATTCCTCAATTTTAAGTTTACCATTGAGGAAGAGACCTTGTCAGTTGTCCTCATCAACTTAGAACATGAATCCCAATATGGACAAGTTCAACAGGACTGCCATATACGGGCTGCCCATGCATGCTTCAGCATTGCCAGGGTATAAATTTCAAAAAAAATTTCATAGTTTACCATTAGATGAACAATATCTTATTAGCTGACTCAAACATAGATCCTTTAGAAAGAATGTTTGAAGAAGAAAATTTTGCTTTGTTGGGGATTTCAGATTGCTCCTAGAAAAATATAAAGAAGAGATTCTGTTAATTATTATGACTATATGTGGATTGGGTGGATCCAAATATAACTGAATTCTGGTCATATTACCCCCTAAACACTCCCCTACAGGAATTTTAATGCAATAGGGTCATGGATATTTATCATTGTTTATGGGGTTGGTTACAAGTTGTTACTGGTTATGGTCAGAAGGAAAGTTGAACAAAGGAGAATAGATTCAGAGTTCTTGTTTTCAAAAGAAAAAAGTGGGATAAAGACAGAATAAAAGGGTAGATTATTGAATCTACTCTGAAAAGAAAAAAAAAGGGAGGAAATAGATAGGATAAAAAGGTAGACTACTGAATCTACTTTTTTAAAAAGCAACTATTTTAAATATTTTACATTGGATTATATTTTTGTATATTGTATATAATTTTGTATATTAATACAAATTTGAGACCAATTTTGATAAAACATACTGCACATACATTTCTAATCTTGATCAAGGTATGATACCTGTGCAAGTCATTTAACAATGTAATGTAAATTGCTAGCCCTTGAAAGTTTTTATTGCCAACTATTTAGGATAATGAAGAAATGCAGGTTAGCAATTAGTCATCTATTACAATTGAACTTGTAGTCATATTAGGTATGTTTTCAAGTTCATACATATATTTTAGATATACAGGTCATCTTCAAACACCAGAGATCCACTGAACATGCTACCTAAGATGTTTTAATAGAGACTCCTAGGACAGAGAGGGCCAGAGCAGAAGCCAGCAGCAAATCCAGCCCTGGGAGCCAACTTAGTCCTGGGACACTGGCAGACCAGGATTGAGTCAATGGATCTGACTCAGAGTCTGCAATCTCCACTGGAACCAGAGTGGGACTGAACCAGTTATCTAAGACACAGAGAGAACAAGCTCCACCAGGAGCAGAAGCCAGAAGCAAACCCAGTCCTGGGACATGGGCAGATCAGGACTGAGCCAACGACCAGATCCGGAGTCAGCAATCTTCACCACAACAGGTCCAACTCCAAGCCAGAGACTTCTGCAGGAGGAGATCCAGACCAGGATTTACAGAAACAGATCAAAGCCAGCAGCCTAGGCCAAAGTAGGCATGAGACAGCAAACTCCAAGGGAGCAGACCAAAGCACAGGAGCACTGAGCTTCCTCCAGGAACAGGAATAACCAACAGGGTAAATAGAACTGTGACACTGACTGTACCACGAGGAACAACCATCTGAGCTTTGGATTCACTGGCACCTAGAAGATTATTCAACAAAATCTCAGACAGCCCCAACCACACTTATTAGAGGAAAAGATGAGTAGAAAAGGTAAGATCACATGCTACACCACAAAACCAGTAAAACCTAAAGTCCCTACAAAAGCAAGACCTGAACAAACAAATATGGATGAACCAGAAGAAAATGATCTAAAAAATAACCTCAAGAGAATGTTTGAAATTCTTAAAGATGAAATGAGGAATTACCTTAAAGAAATGGAGGAAAAAACAAAAAATTGGAAGATATCAGCAAATTACTTAAAGAAAACCAAGAAAAAGAACTCAAACATATAAAAGAAACTATTCAGGACTTGAAAACTGAGATAGAAAAAATAAAGAAAACACAAGCCGAAGGAATTATAGAAACAGAAATCATGAGAAAAAGATCAGGAAACACAAATGTAAGCATGAACAACAGAATACAAGAAATGGAAGAGAGAATCTCAAGTGCTGAAGATACAATAGAGGAAATAGACTCATCAGTTAAAGAAAACATTAAATCTAACAAAAGCTTAACCCAAAATATCTATGAAATATGGGATACCATAAAAAGGCCAAATCTTAGAATAATAGGTATAGAAGAAGGAGAAGAAGTTCAACTCAAAGGCACAGAAAATTTATTTAACAAAATCATAGACGAAAACTCCCTACCTAGAGAAAGATATGTCTTTGAAGATACAAGAAGCTTATAGAACACCAAATAGACTGGATCAAAAAAAAAAAAGTCCTCTCGCCACATAATAATCAAAACACTAAACATATAGAGTAAAGAAAGAATATTAAGAGCTGCAAAGGAAAAGGCCAAGTAACATATAAAGGTAGACATATCAGAATTACACCTAACTTCTCAGTGGAGACAATGAAAGCCAGAAGGTCATAGTCAAGCATAGGTGTTTTTTAAACATAAAGCAAAGAAAGCCAGCCTACAAACCACAATCCCAGAGAACTTAGACAACAATGCGGACACTAAGAGAGACTTACATAGATATAATCTACATGGGAAGTAGAAAGTAGAAAAAGACAAGATCTCCTGAGTAAATTGGGAGCATGGGGACCTTGAGCGAGGATTGAAAGGGGGAGGGGAAAGGCAGGGAGGGGAACAGAGAAAAATGTAGAGCTCAATAAATATCAATAAAAAAGATGTTTTAATAACATAGGTTTTTTTTCTTATGACAATGAGACATGTCTGGTCCTGGCAGCACCAATCTAATTCGGAGAATATATGGGCATCAAAGAAACTCTGTGGAGTTTTCTTTGTGGTAAAAGTAAGCCACTGGGCAAGAAAGTGCCCTTGCATTGACTGCTGGCAGTATGTTGTCCTAATTGGACAAGCAGGTCACAACAGAGATTGACTGTCAAACCTTGTCCAGATAAAGCAGGACAGTCCTTCAGAAATTCTGCTTTATTAAAAAGTTTGTCAAAGTTGCACAATGGTGGTGCACACCATTAATCCCAGCACTTGGGAGGCAGAGACAGCCAGATCTCTGTGAGTTCAAGCTAGTTCTAGGACAGGCTCCAAAGCTACAGAGAAACCTTGTCTTGAAAGATGAAAGAGGGAGGGAGAGAGAGAGAGAGAGAGAGAGAGAGAGAAAAGTTTGTCAAACATTCCATATTATAACGCTGCAACTCAGTGCCTGGTACATAGTATGTACTTAATAAAAGTCTGTTAAGGGGTTGAAGATATGGCTTGTCTAGCATGCACAAAGCCCTGGGTTTGATCCCTAGTGCTGCAGAACTATAAGAAAAAAAAGAGATAAAATCAGAAAATGAAAGTGAAAGTGTTGAAGACGGAAATAACATGGTAAAATGGAAATTTTAACTTTTCTTTTCTTTCTTTCTTTCTTCCTTCCTTTCTTTCTTTCTTTTTTAGAAACAGGGTCTTGGGGCTGGAGAGATGGCTCACTGGTTAAGAGCACTGGCTGCTCTTCCAGTGGTCCTGAGTTCAATTCCCAGTAACCACAGAGGATTGAAGCTCTCTCTGGCATGCATACAGACAGAGCACTCATACCTGAAAACATACATAAATAAATAGAAAGAGGGTCTTAGGCTGGGCTGTGGTGACATATACTTTAATTACAGCACTCAGGAAGCAGAGACAGGTGAGTCTCTGTGAGTTCAAGGCCAGCATGGTCTACAGAGTGAGTTCTAGAACATCCAGGGCTACACAAAGAAACTCTGTCTCAAAAAAGGAGAGAGAGAGAGGAGGAGGAGGTGGTGGAGGGAGGAGAAAAGAAAAAAGATAAGAAAAGAAACAAGATCTTGGTGTGATACCTAGGTTGGCCTGGAAATCTCAGTGAGAACCCTGCGGGGACAACTATAAGCTCCTGTCACCTGTCATTACATACATTTTTTTTTGTAATTCTTATTCTTCTGAATTCTACTTCTTCCCTTTGTATTTTCAGAATATGAGTGATGCTATGGCAATCTTGCACAAACTGCAGACAGGCCTGGATGTGAATGTCAGATTTACTGGTGTACGAGTGTTCGAGTATACACCAGAGTGCATAGTCTTCGATCTTCTAGATATCCCTTTGTATCATGGGTGGTTAGTGGACCCTCAGGTAAGTAGATTTTCAGTTATATAAATACAGGGGTCTTGAGAGATGTCTTAGTGGTTAAGAGCACTGTTACTCTTGCAGACAGGTCACAATTGTAATTTAAGTTCCAGGGAATTTAATGCTTTTTTTTTTTGACACATGTAGCTGCCAGGCATGCCACTGGTACATAGATGTACATGCAGGCAAAACACTCATACACATAAAAATAACAGTCACGCCAGGCGTGGTGGCGCACGCCTTTAATCCCAGCACTCGGGAGGCAGAGGCAGGCGGATCTCTGTGAGTTTGAGACCAGCCTGGTCTACAAGAGCTAGTTCCCGGACAGGCTCCAAAACCACAGAGAAACCCTGTCTCGAAAAACCAAAAAAAAAAATAAATAAATAACAGTCACATAAACACAAATGCAGGAAAGTTCATCTAAATTTATATTTTTAATATGAATATGCTTGCTCTTTGACCTGGAATTAGCAAAACTGTGAGGGAACAGATAGTTATCCAGACGCCCCAACCTGCTCAAGACTTCTGACCCTAACTGCAGAGTTAAGTGAAGAATCCCTCACTTTCACATCAATTGCAAGTTTAGAGGGTTTTCCCAAATATCCTAAGATTTAATAATTTGCTAGAACCCTTGTGGTAGTTTGTAAGAAAATGATCCCGAAGGGAAGTGGCACTATTGGGAAGTATAGCTTTGCTGGAGTAGATATGACCTTCCTTGTTGGAGGACGTATGTCACAAATGGAGGCAATCTTTGAGGTCTTTTGCTTAAGCTCTGCTCAGTGTCACAATAGACTTCCTGTTGTCTGCGAGATGTAGGACTCCCAGCTACTCCTCCAGCACCATGTCTACCTCCATGCCGCTTGCTCCCCATCATGATGATAATGGACTGAACCTCTGAAACTGTAAGCTGCCTCAATTAAATGTTTTCTTTTATAAGAGTTGCTGTGGTCATGGTGTCTCTTCACAGCAGTAGAAACTCTAACTAACACAATGGGTGTACCATTGTATACAAATAATTCAGCTTATTACTATAGTGGTGCACACAAGAGAAATCAGATACAGGTTTGTACTAATCAAGGAAGATGCATAGGTCAAAATTTAGGAAGTTTTTACCTGGGAAGCTCCTGTCTTCTAGGCATGCTACCCTCCTATAATTGTTATATGGCACTATCCATACAGTATCCCAATTTTAGAACTCAGCCTTCAGAGTTCAGATTCATTATGGATTGCCAATGTGGTTGATCTCAGTCACCAACTAGACTTGATGCCACATTGTTCATGGGGGCCTTAATGAGTCACTGTGCTCTAGTGTAAGCTGCAGATGTGGCGTGAAGGCTCTGCCATGAATAGCACTATTGGTCTTGTTAACTAGAGAAACCTCAAGAGCTTAGAGGTTGTACCCCATGATTCTGGAAAGGCCAGCCTTCTCCTTGGACAAGAGCATAGCATTAAGGAAAGAGAGATCACCCTGACATTTATTTCAAAAACCACTCCCATATCCTCATCACTCTAATGTGTGGAAGAATTTTGCACCTTTCTGTATATCCAGTCTGCTGGTATGTTGGGGTTTTTTTTATTATTATTATTACTCTTTATTCTTTGTGGCACCTCCACCCAGCCCCCAAATAAATGCACACAAAGACTTATCTTTTTCTTATGAATGTCTGTTCTTAGTTTGGCTTGTTTCTAAAAGGCTATTCTTAAATTATCCTGTTTATCTTTTGCCTCTGGGCTTTTACCTTTCTCTGTTTCTGTGTATCTTTCCTTATTTCTTACTCCATGGCTTGCTGTATAGCTGGGTGGCTAGCCCCTGATGTCCCCCTCTTTCTTTTCTTGTTCCTTCTTCCCCTTTGTTCTTTTCCCCCTTCCTTTTATTCTCTCTACCTGCCAGCCTCTCCTATCCTTTATCTGCTTAGCTATTGGCATTTTATTAGACCAATCAAGTGTTTTAGACAGGCAAAGTATCACAGCTTCACAGAGTTAAACAAATGCAATATAAAAGAATACAACACATCTTTGCATCATTCAACAAATATTTCACAATGTAATCAAATGTAACATATCTTAAAAATAATATTCTACAACATTTTTCTCTTTTTATCTAAATAAAATGATAGGTTTTTAACATAGTAAAACTCTATACAACAAAAACATTTATCAAATAAGAACTAATTTACAATATTCAGTCCTTTTGTATGTAGCAAATTCGGAGAAAACACTCCACCATCCATCCCATCTTAGTGAAGCCAAGTTTTATACTTAATTTACTTTCTATCATAACTAAGGAAAAATAACTGAAAATAGTTCATTTGGTTTTTAATTCAATCAAAGACCCAGAAGGAGGTCTTTGATGACCTACTAAAAGAGACATCTTGCTGCTTGTATCGTCACCCAAAGTTCCTCTGCAACATTGAAGCATACATCTTCAGCCTACTGGCCTAGAGTATCTGGCAGACTTTTCAGTGAAGCAAAAAAAACTAAAGGATTGTCCTACCTTGTATCAGCAAAGTTCATCAGTTGCTTTCCTTTGTGTCCTGCAGAATATCTGGCAGACTCTTTTGTGAAGCAGGAATTTTTCCTTTGGGCCTGCATGTCTTGTCTGCACAGCACATTATTAGCAATCTAAGGCAACAACAGTCTTTTTTTTTTTTTTTTTTTTTGGTTTTTCGAGACAGGGTTTCTCTGTAGCTTTGGTGCCCGTCCTAGAACTAGCTCTTGTAGACCAGGCTGGCTCGAACTCCCAGAGATCCGCCTGCCTCTGCCTCCCGAGTGCTGGGATTAAAGGCATGCGCCACCACCGCCCGGTGAACAACAGTCTTTTTGCCCAGTGGCTAAACTAACCACAATGAAAGCAAACTCCTTAAGGAGTTTCTTCGATGCCCATTATCTCTGAAGTAAATTGGTGCTGCCAGGAGCAGATGTGGCTCATTATCATGAAAAGGCTTAGGTTAGCAAAACATTTTAAATGCCATATTCTATAGGTCTTTGAAGTGTTTGAAGACCACTTATTTATCTAAAATATCTCTGATCTTGAAAACATGCCTAACATATCTACAAATTTGACTGTTATAGATGACTAAATATTAACCTGTGTTTCTTGATTATTGTAAATAGTTTATAATAATAGCTTTCAACAACTAGAGCTTTACCTTACATTTTTAAATGAACTGCATAGGTACAATACCTTAAACAAGAGTAGAAATGTATATAAAGTGTAACAAAATAACTTTAAATTTGTATCAATATACTATATTTCCCTAAATGATAACAAATATCCATAACCCACCAAATAACCAAAAGCTTCTCACACCCCTTCTTGGGAAAGTGGGTGTCATGTTCTGCAGACTGCTTCCTGTTATCTGTGGGCAAAGCATCTTTAGGGGTCCCTGAGAAAATTGAGATAATGGTCACGTCCTGAGAAGACCAGCTATAACCTTTGACGATAGATATCACCTGTCAAGTTTCGGGAGGTCTCCCTTGATCAAACTTGATCCATATTAATGTGGAACAACACAGACTTTCATTTCCCGTGGAAACAAAAACAAGACTGCTTCTCCAAAGCACTGCATCTTTTAAGTTCAATTTTACAAATGCATTTTTTTACTTCCATTTTAAAGTTAAAACATTTTTAAAATATCTAGGCCGGTTTATTTCATCAGTCCCTCTTTCATTCCCATATCTCTCAGCAGCTGTTGTTTGCTTATCAACAATCAAAAATTCAAAAGAAATATAACAATATGTAAGATCCAGACTCCCTGTGTATTTCCCATCTACATGGCTCTTTAAAGACTTTGTGTTACTATGTTTTAAAGTATTTCTTTCTTTGTATGACTGTCTATATCCATATTCTTTCTTTCTTAAGCCTATGCACATTGTAAAACACACTGGAACCTGTTTAGAGATTTTTTTTTCCATCTGGACTTCTTTTATATATGGTCTATTTTGACCGTGTGAACAAACTTTAAACTACTAAGCTACAGCTGAGTGCTCTGTGCCACTCTAATGGCTGACTCCACTTGCTTCTAGGTTCCTGAGAACCAAGCCTAAAGCTCGCAGTCCAGTTGGAGGTGCATTTGACCAGAACTGCGTTCAACATCCCCAGAAATCTAGACTTCCAATGCTTGCACTGAGGCAGGCGCTTTTACATAGTTTTTGTTTCTATTTAGCGTGAAAAAGGTTGTTTCTGTGTGGCAGAATTTCATTAGCTCACAAAAAAACAATATAGTTGGTTCAAGGAGGCCATCACTTGCCCAGTCCCCAACACTAGAAGCCTCAGTGAATATCTGTACAGTTGGAATTCTTTCATGATTATTCTGAAGCAATGGAGCTATTAAAAATAAAAGGTTTACTCAGGGTCTGAACTTGCACTATCAATTATGTAGAGCCCATTTCAATTTTTTAGTTTGAACTTGTTGATTAGATTAAACCGTTTGCAATTCTTTACTGCTGCAACACCTTGTTGAAGCCCTTGCAGAGTTTGACGTTGCTCTGGTTCTGGGCACACTCCAGAAACTGATCTCGAGAGCAAGGCCCATAAGATGATGCCTGGTCTAGCAGCTGGGCTCCCTGGGGCTCCTGGTAAGTGATGTCAGGCAGGCTGAGCATTACCACCTCCACTGAAGCCTCTAGTGATGGCATGACCTAGGGTGGGCCCCACTGCAGAACCCACAGCCACACGGGCTGTAGTGGTTGCCATCTGGGCAGTTAGGCATGGCTGCCTGGCAGGTGAGTCAACTGGAGATGGTGCAGCTGCTGCTGGAGGCTGAACTGCAGGTGCTTGCCTGGGAGCAACCCTCATCTGAGGGGCCTGGCTGGCCGGAGGGACCACCCTGGAACGCAGTTTCGGCTTCCACATAACATGCTAGGTACTCACACACTTGAAGTTCAAAGACAACAAACTCAAAGGAGAACTTTCTAAAGGAGCCGTGTTCTTTTTTTTTTTTTTTTTTTAAGCTTTTTCAGGATCTGTGGAAATTCAAGACACTCATGTCGGGCACCAAAATGTT